CTTTGTAAATTATAATAATAATTGAACAACATGATTTTGAGTTGAGTTTGAGTTGCTCATGTAAAGTGTGTAATCTAGGTTGAGGTAATCTCTCTCCTATTTTACCATGGTAAAATCTAACAAGCATATTGCCTTTCAAAATGTTATTCTTGCCTGGAAAACTTAGTAATTCTTCCATTATTATGCAAAAAAATGAAGCTTATGGGTCTGAAATGTTTGTATCTAGGTAATTCATTGGTAATCAAGACTCCACCCATAATGTAATCCTGCCTCCTGCCATTTTAAGAGGATGTCCATAAAGCACACACGCTCCTACTGAATATGAATTTTGTGGGGACTCTGCCCCTATGGCAGGTGCGATGCTGCCCGACACCTCGAGAAGAATGTAGGCTGTGGCCAGGAGATAGCTACAGCACTGCTTCTTCTGAGGGAGAGGAACCCGGCCTTCTTTGCGAATGACTATAGTGTTACTTACCTAGTCCTCGAGCTGCCCAGGGTCCTCTGCTTGCATCATGCTCAGGCATGCAGGGAAAACAAAACAGACGGGATGCCGAATGCAACATGGATTTGCGCAGACCGCCCTTTAACAGGGAAAACGCCGCTCACAGTCAGAGTGCATTTTTAAAGGGGAAATGTACGACTGTACAATAATTGGTCCACGTCAGTCCAGTGCCCGCATCTTTTGGGGTCGCAGACATGACATGGACCAATCACAAAGTACCACTTAATATTTAAACCCATCTGATCCTATTTGCTTTGCTCTATTGTGGTTTATGTTCCCAGTACCCTTTTGTACTGCCAAAGAAGATGCAACATAGACAGGAAATACATCTTTGTGTTCCACAGCGGAACACACGTCGGATTCACATGGAACTCATCTTCTCATCACCAAGAGGTATTTATAATGGAGATTTGGATTTCACCATATATCCCTGAGGAAGTCCCATATTAAGGACGAAACACGTTGGATGACCCAGGACATTATATACATATATTTTTTATTATTGGTTTGTTTATTGTATTTTATTTCCGGTATATTTTTTCTCACTTTTTGGGCTGTGTATCCTGTTCGGGAAGCAGATCCTTCTACATTACACCACCTAATTGGAGATATGCTCATTAACGTCTTTTAATTGTAAGTGCAATACAATAAATTTTTATACTTTTTCTTCATACTTCACAATTTTGGATATATTTTTTATTTACATGTGAGCACCTTATATTTGCTGCACGAAGAATTTGTACTTTCCTCCTTCACGTACCCCAGTGGGGTGATGAGCGCATTACCTCCTTCTGTTTATTTTCTTCAATTCTTTGGACATATTTTAACAGTGCTGCCATTTTCTCCATTTACCATGTTGTTTTTCAGTTTTTTTCCTATATTTACACCTGTGTTGTGTGATTTTTCCATACTTTCTGTATTCATAACCCTTTTGTGTGTTCCTTGGTTCTTTGTGTAATATTGTGGTATTGACCTTGGCCTTGCTACTGACCCTGAATTTATCTTTAATCATTTCCTGTGTTCTTTGCCTGTTTGACCAATTACCGAGTATCTGACTCTGGCTAGTTCTCATTTTCATTTTTTCTCTGTTACCCTGACCTCGGCTTGTGTCTTGACTACACTTTTATCTCTGTCTGACATTAAGTCTAGCCATTCTAAGGCCCGGTACTGTTATTTACTTGTTTCGTTCCTTGCTGCTCTAAACTCTATGTGTTGGGGTTTTTAACTTGTAACAATGACCTGGCATGCACCAATAAAGTGCCACGTCAGGCCAGGATGGAGGCATTGCGAGGGAGTCCCAGGTGAGTGAGTTGGGGGCCCTGACAGTATGTTTAGTAAAAAGGGAGTTTTGTTACAATACTATATGCTCAAGTAAATGGGTGCACTATGAAGTAAGATAAACTACAAATATTCACAATATATGTCTGAGAATCAAAAGATCAGGAACAGTAGACATGGACCTTTTGCTAGAATTCAAGGACCTAAACATCTCTTGTTTTTCTGATTCTGTTGCTCTCCCCCACTCCACACCCCCTTCCCCCCCAGCTGTAAAGCTTAGAGGTTAGTGCTGTTTATGGTCTGACTTATTCAAATTTGGAGGACTCCTTAATTTGCAACACTAAATAGAGTGAGAGAAAACAACATCCAAAGCTTGAATTCCTGAAATTACCTACTCCCCTGACAATGCCGAGAAGGAAAGTAGTCCTGTAGAAATTAGAGTTCATGGTTGCATATACTTGATATAAAGGCCACTACTCCATATTAATTCTTCTTTACCTCTCTGCTGCCTTTGACAATGTTGATCATGCTCTCCTCCTTCAAACTCTTCAGTCGCTCGGTCTCTGTGACTCTGTCCTCTCATGGTTTTCCTCTTATCTCTCCCAACGCTCATTCAGTGTCTCCTTCTCCCCTCATCCTGTCTTGGTTGGAGTTCCCCAAGGCACTATCCTTGGTCCCCTTCTATTTTCTCTTTATACTGCCTCTCTTGGCAAATTTATTTTATAATTGAGGGGATTGATCTAATACTTAACAACAACTACTTCTGGTTCTAGGACTCTTTTTATGTACAAAGAAATGGGACGGCTAAGGGGACCAGGTTCACACCCAGCTATGCCAATCTCTTCATTACTAAGTGGGAAGAAAGGATGGTATGGAGAGGGCATGGCTGGGTGGAAAACCTGGTTACCTATTTCAGATACATAGATGATCTTCTGTTCATATGGAAAGGTCCACTTCAAACAGCTAAAATATTTATAGAGTTTTTAAATAAGAATGATGACTGTATCATTTTAAAAGCTGATTTTAGTCAAACGAATATCACTTTCCTTGATCTAGATATATATATATCGACAACAACAAATTATGCACTAAAACGCACTTTTAAAAAGGTCCATGTTAATAACTTTATTGAGACAGACAGTTGCCATCATAGAAGTTGGTTAAATAGTATCCCTAAAAGACAACTTCTAAGACTAAACAAAAACTGTTCGGATAAAAAAGTCTTCGAAATTCAGGCGAAAGAAATTAAAGAAAAATTAATTGAAAAAGGATACAATGAAAAAAACATAGAAGAAACTATAGAGAGAGTGACTAAAATTAATAGGGACAAATTAATCAAGAGAAAAACCCAACAAAAGACTAAAAACGAAGATAAAGAATTTATATTACCAGTAGTCCTAGATTATAACAATAAGAATAAACAAATTAAAAAGATAATTAATAACAACTGGCATTTGCTAAAAGAGAACACCATATTGGGGACCATAATTCCGGATAAACCAAAAATAATATTCAGAGGGGCACCTAATTTAAAAATGCAACTCACAAAAAAACTTCGCGAGGTATCAGAAAAGTTCCAGCGCCCTTAATAATTTTCTACAAACGAAAAAAGGATTCTTTAAATGCAACAGTTGCATAGCCTGTAAAAAAACTAAAAAGACAGACAGACATACCTCTAATTTTAAATCCAATAACACTTATAAAGATTATGATATCAGGGACACGATCATGTGTATGAGTAAAAACGTCATATATCTTTTAGAGTGCCCCTGTGGCCTACAATATGTGGAAAGGACTATAAGACCTTTAAAAACCCTTATAGGTGAACACTGTAGAAACATCGAAAAAGGTTTTAAGAACCACCTAGTATCATCTCACTTTGAAGTGCATAATAATGACCCTCACAAGTTGAAATTCATGAGTATTACCAAAATGTCTCAATATTGGAGAGGTTAAATATGATTAAAAGACTGGGCAAAAAAGAGATGGAATGGGTGTATTATCTAGATACACTACATCCTAAAGGATTGAATGCTGAATTTGACCTTTTTAATTTTTTATAATAAAGTTTTTTTATTAACAAATTTACTACAATTTATTTTTATAATTCTACCATCTTTTTAATTTTTAATTTATTTACCAAATGGTTTTCTAATTAGTAATTTTTGGCTACATTATCCATATTTCTTTTTAAATATGGATAATGTAGCCAGACATGTATGTAGTTTTATATGTTCCTCCTTTCCAGTAAAAAGGAAAGGAGCATATTGGAAATGTCTGCTCTTACGTAAGGGAGGAGTGTTTTTAAATTGACTGTTCAGCATGATTTTATGTTTTGTACGGTCAATTTTTTTTTCTGTCTGTTTTTTTTATTTTTTGTCAATAATAGTAAAAAAATGAATAAAGAATAAATTAATGGAAAAAAAAGCATATGAAGTATTTTGACAAAGGGAAACTTCCACCTGTTACTGGTAACCACAGTGCAGAAGATCTGCTTAGAACTGATCTGGTAGAAAGCTGGGTAGGCAGATGTTTATAGATAGCGAGCATACCTCCAGTTCAGAGATGACCAAACTCCAGAAATAATAAACAATAAAGGAATAGGCTGATCTAAAGTGCAGGTAGATTTAGTGAAGGAAGTGCAGCAATGTAACAGAGATTTCATCAAGCTTGATAAAGGTTCTGTTAGCAGCCAAAATGTTGCTGCTCTTTATCTATTAAATCTGTCTGCACTGTAGACCTGTGCCCAGTCTAATTGTTTACTAGAACTGATATGCTTACACAGAATCTTTATATACCATAACAAAGAAATCATATTACCTCTATCCAGCAGAAGACAAGGTCATACTGTGTCTAGATAATTTTAGATGGAACAAGAAATTATAGTTACTCTGAGAGTAATGAATATGCAACATTGGAAACACACTGTGGACCCTTCGATAAGCAAAAAAGTCTTTGCAAACATTTCTAGTTACCCCAAAATATGTTTTATACTTATGAGCTCTTCTGGCAAATATGGAAAATGAGCCAACTAAATCAATTCAGAAATAATATGCTTTGGCATATAGCAGTAAAGTAGCAGGATTTTAGCACATCTCATATTAATATGCACATAATTTAGGCTGCTTTCCAATGCCATTATGTTATGCTATATATTGTAATCATTGAACTAGCTAATAATGCTCATTTTGATTTCTCCTAGGATCCAAATGTGAAGGAAGGACACCCTAAATTTTTTCATTCTCAGAATCAGAAAGCTTGCACGTACAACGAATATACTCACAAGACAGTTACTATACCAGGTTGCCCAATGCATGTGAATCCAGTTTATACCTACCCTGTAGCTATCAGTTGCAAGTGTGGTAAATGTAACACAGACTACAGTGAATGCATACAGGATGTGATTAAAACAAATTACTGTACAAAATCTAAAAAGCCCAATCAGATTGGCTTATCTAATTATATCTAGTAACTATCTATCAGAATAATCGCAAATCATGATTGCAGTATGATAGTCTTCAGATACTCAAAATCTGACCCTTGTTTTGCTTAGAACCTTCATGCAATCGTTATGGCATCCAGAACTTTTAGCAATGTAAGTTTTCTTCTGTTTATGGTAAATATGAGACTTAATGCTTTAGAAAGGCAGTCATGGCAATGTACTTAGAACATGTAGAATACAGCCAAAAATTGGATCACTTTATTACACCAGAAGGTCTGTTTCCATAAATAGTTGCATGTAGAAATAGATGGATAGTTATTAGGTAATTTGTAAAATGTGATTTTCTTTTTAAACCGTACACAGATTTAGTTCACCCTAAGTTATTTTGCCTTCTTTCTCGAGAAACTAATGTTACATGATTCATGAAAAAGAAAGGAACATTATGTTGTTAGGAATACGAAACTGTATGCCTAACACTATAGTGTTCCACTGCCTTCACGCCTCTCACCCCATGACCATGAGAGGGTTATAAACTCTTTCACTTACTTGTTTTCAGCACCAAGGGCCCTCGGCACTGGATCGCTCTCTGCCTCCTCTGGCGTCAGTGATGGAGGAAATCTAATGTGCATGAATTAATGCTTTTCAAGATGCTGGATGTCCTCATGCAAATAGTGAGGATATCCAGCATTGTTTCACAGAGTTAAATTCCGTGAAAGGCTTGGAAGCATCAGGTAGACACCCACTAGAGGAATTCTTCAAAAAGCCAATGTAAACATTGCAGTTTCTCTAAAACTGCAATGTTTTACATTGCAGGGTTAAGGAGACTGAGGGAAATCAACCAGACCACTTCAATTAGATGAAGTGGTCTGGGAGCCTATAGTCTCCCTTTAACTGAATAACGTTTCAGACATCCCAGATAATGCTATAACTAGACATATGATTTCTGCCGTGAAGGATATTTCTTTTCATCGAAATACATCTAAAGGAAATTAGAGACCATGCTGGAACATTACCACATATGAGAAGGATCTGCCATAACATGGATGGTTGTGGACCAAAAGTATGTAGGAACATCACAAATCTTTGCCTTTATCTTCTCAAAAAAAAGAGCAGTGGGCACTTTCTGCTCTGGAGTAATGGTTAGGTTTCTTAGTGATTAGGTTTTCTAGGGGATGTTAGATAAGGTGTGAATGGCATAAATGTATCCAAGATATTCACTGTAGTCGTAGGAGAAAGTGGTTCCCTAAGTTTATTAACATAACCAAGATACAGAACAGGATTTTACCACAGTTTATATATGTGTCACACAGGATTTGTTTTTCACATCATGCTCATTAAGTTAAATAAACACTACGAGGACTAAAACCACAGTGCTGGTTTCACATGGAAAAAAACATGGAACTAGGAGTACTCTAGTAAGCTCCCAGAGTAATAAACCAACTAAGAACTGTTTGATAATAAAAACGTACAGTGGTCCTGACGGGCACCTCCGGCGACAGCCCCTGCATCTTGATTCTCCTTGCAACTTAGTTCCATTGAACTAATCAGGACTAAACTGGGCTATGCTCACTGGATGAGAACATCAGCTGAGCGCTCTCACTTAATGAGCATGCTCCTGTTTAAAAATCAAAAATACCTTTTAGAGGGTGATCTTTTTAAGAAAATTCTAAATAAAAATGCAAAAGCATTATTGAAACTATATTGATTATAAACAGAGTAAAGCTGATTATCGATATAATTTGACTTACATTTACTCTTAGGATTTTCTCCTTTGATAAATATGTTTATTTGCAGCCAAAAATATGGGTGCTTGGGAGTTTGGCATTTAAATGAACTGTATCTTATTCTTTATTTATTTTTATATGCAACAATATATGATTTTTAAATGAGTCTTAGATTCATATGACTTCCTTTGTGAACATTATTACTAAATAAATGCTAACTCTTCATACGGCATTATCACCTTTGGGCACATTAGTATTATAGTATGTTTGACAAACTTGAGTAAAATGGATGCATGAAATAAGAGATGCTTTGTCATTTGATCACAAGAGCATATTTGGTTATGATACCCCAAACATAAGCTCTAACCTTAATCTGAAATTAACGCACCAATTCAATTATTCAATACCTCCAAATAATACCATTATTCAATACCTCCAAATAAACAGCATCTAATGGTGGGTCCAAGACCGTACCTCATACCCTAAACCAAATCCAATTTACCTTGATTAATTAGTTAAATTGTGCACCAATGCTCTGCATATTTAGTCAGGAGAGCAAAAAAACGGGTCGCAAGAGTATTCTGAGAACGGACAATCAGGAATCAATCCTGCTACACAAAAACAAATGGTATCACCAAATCAATAGTTGCTGTAAACAATCCATACCAAGGTTACATTCCAAAAATTGGAAGTGATTTGCATTACTTGACAAACTAATTTTCATAAATATACATAGTAAAATAAATTAAGAAAAGTTTGTTGAGTATGTAATAAACATTTAAAAACGGAAAGGGACACCATAGTCACCAGAACAACTACAGCTTCTTGGATTTGTTCTGGTGAGTAGAATCATTACCTTCAGGCTTTTTGCTGTAAACACTGTCTTTTCAAAGAAAATGCAGTGTTTACATTACAGCCTAGTGATAACTTCACTGGCCACTCCTCAGATAGCTGTTAGAGATCCTTCCTGGGTCGTGGCTGCCTAAAATGCATCCAAACATTCAGTGTCTCCTCCCTCTGCGTGCAGACACTGAACTTTCCTCATAGAGATGCATTGATTCAATTCATCACTATGAGGAGATGCTGAGTGGCCAGGGCTGTGTTTGAAACATGCTGGCTCTGCCCCTGATCTGCTTCTTTGTCAGTCACAGCCAATCCTATGGGGAAGCATTGTGATTGGATCAGACTACCACTTCTGATGATGTCAGCAGGCAGTGGACAGGTCTAAAGGAAACAGAGCCAGAGCTAGCAGCTCCAAACTTGAATACAAGTAAGATTTAAAAAAAATTTTTTAGAGAGGCATGGGGGGACCAGGGTGGCTAGATGGTGTTTTTAACCCTATATGTCAGGAATACATGTTTGTGTTCCTGACCCTATAGTGCTCCTTTTAGTATAATATCTGTAATAAATCATTTGAATGAAAGAGTTGCCTCAAATGGGATGCAAGTACCCGTAAAGCACCACAGTATGCCCTGTTTCAAGAAGTCAACTAAGTTATACAACTATACATAATGGGAAACTATACAAAAGTATTTAAATCCAAAAAAGAAACTGGATAGGCTTTTGCTAGATTCAGTCCTTTTCTGGCAAGGATGAGTAAAATGTAAGTTTTTCACAACTGTGAAAAAAGTAGTAAATTTGATCTAATTATTTTACATCATTTTAGATTTTATTAAATATAGATTTTTTTTTATTCCCATCAAGAAATCAGGAAACACATGAACTTTAGCTATTTTTAAAATAAATAAACCTAAGCTATTTTTAAAATAGAGGGTGTTCCTGCAATGCTGGCCAGGTAATAAGGAAGAATGTTTCCCCATTAGTATTTTTATGGGCAGTGATAACATTAAAGGACCACTCTAGGCACCCAGACCACTTCAGCTTAATGAAGTGGTCTGGGTGCCAGGTCCAGCTAGGCTTAACCCATTGTTTTATAAACATAGCAGTTTCAGAGAAACTGCTATGTTTGTGAATGGGTTAAGCCTTCCCATATTTCCTCTAGTGGCTGTCTCATTGACAGCCACTAGAGGCGCTTGCGTGCTTCTTACTGTGATTTTCACAGTGAGAGCACGCCAGCGTCCATAGGAAAGCATTGAGAATGCTTTCCTATGTGACCGGCTGAATGCGCGCGCAGCTCTTGCCGCGCGTGCGCATTCAGCCGCATGGGAGGAGGATCGGAGGAGGAGAGCTCCCCGCCCAGCGCTGGAAAAAGGTAAGTTTTAACCCTTTTCCAGAGCCGGGCGGGAGGGGGACCCTGAGGGTGGGGGCACCCTCAGGGCACTATAGTGCCAGGAAAACGAGTATGTTTTCCTGGCACTATAGTGGTCCTTTAATGCATTGAGTGCATCTGATTTAAACCAATCATTATATATTTTTGTATTGTAGCTTAAATTGTGTAATTTTATTTATAACAGGTTCTCAGTAGACGTGTGCAAAAAATACTTTTCATCTGGTACAAATGAATCAAATACATTTTAACCTGCACCTGAATGAATCTATCCGTTCAGGATTAACCAATGGAGTCAATGAATATTCACTTAATAAGACTCCATGGGTAAATCCTGGATGGATCAGTTTGGGCGCAGGTTAAAAGGCATGCGATTTGTTCGTACCAGCTGAAAAGCATTTGTGCAGAAATTTAGAAGTTAGTAAACAAACTGCTATGACAAAAATTCCTTGAAACTGTCAGAGGAATGTTTAATCTGCTGCTAGCATTTGTATTTCCCCCACCATTGAACATTAAAGAAACACTATAGGGTCAGGAACATAAACACGTATTCCTGACCCTATAGTGTTAAAATACTATCTATCCCCCCCTGGTACACCTAAATATAGTAAAATCTTACCTTTATTCCAGTCTGCTGCTGGCTGTGCCCGTGATCTGCCTCCTTGGCTGACATCATCAGAACTGATGAACTCAGCCAATCACAATACTTCCCCATAGGAAAGCATTGGATTGGCTGAGATTGTCAATTCTGATGATCTCAGCCAAAGAGACTGACCAGGGGCGGAGCCAAATGACACCCTTGCCAATCAGCATCTCCTCATAGAGATACATTGAATCAATGCATCTCTATGAGGAAAGTTCAGAATCTCCATGCAGAGGGCGGAGACACTGAATGTCAGTGCTGCACACTGTGCAGCACTTCCCAAGGAAGCACCACTAGTATCTTCTGAGGAGTGGCTTCTGGAGGTGTCCCTAGGCTGTAATGTAAACTCTGCCTTTTCTATGAAAAGACCGTGTTTACTGCAAAAAGCCTGCAGGGACTGACAATACTCATCAGAACAACTATATTAAGTGTAGTTGTTCTGGTGTCTATAGTGTCCCTTTAATTTTACTTTTGTTTCTCTCTGCTGAACATTAAATATATCCTATAATAATAAATCTAATATTTATCAATTTATATGCTCCCTGATTTCAGTTACTGTATTTTGTTTAGTCTTATTAAAGATAAGTGTCTTCGTTAAAAAAAAAAAAAAAAGTTTTTTTCTCTTAAAGGCATACTATAGGCACCAAAACTGCTTAATGCAGTTTTGGTGTATAGTTCATGAACTTGCAGTTTTACTGCTCAATTTTCTGCCATTTAGGAGTTATATCACTTTTGTTTCTATTTATGCAGCCCTAGCCACAGCTCCCCTGGCTGTGACTCCCACACCTGCATGAAAAAAAATGTTGCTGTATTTTTACTTTATTTTATTTTTGGTGTGCATCAACATTACAAGACAACATTTCGCATAAAGGTGCAGCAAAAATATATCAAACATATGTTGTATGGAGGAAAGACCATGCTATACATCAGCATAAATATTGTACTATTGGTACTATACATACTTGAGTAACTATTTTACAGCAGAGTGTTATACCCAAAAAGTTCCATGGATAGTAGGGAAGCTACCATGACATGTTATGACATAATACACTGCATCAACTTTTAGTAATCCCTGACATAAACTATAAGAAGGAGAGAGAGAAATCATGTCTAGCAGCAGATTTCCTGAGAGACTTAACATAAAAGTAATTAACTAGGCTTAGACAAACATTTAAACAAAAATATACAATCCTAACCGAGGAGAGCATGTCAGCAAGAGTCTCTGAAGGGGATCAAAGGAAAATGGTTTCATTACTAAAATTTCAATTTACAGAGTATAACACACTCTAGCAGGCAACTAACACAGCATGCAATCAGAAATTCTAAATTAAAAAGGCTGTTCAATAAAGGAAGTTTAAACATTACGTCTCTTTACTGGAAGTGTTTAGGAAGGCTGTGTAGATCACATGAGAGGTGTGACTAGAGTGCATAAACAAATTCTTTTAACTCCTAAATGGCAGAGAATTTGTTAGCGAGACTGCATCGGCATTATGTATACATCAAAACTACTTAATTAAAGCTAAAGTTGTTTTGGTGCCTATAGTGTCTCTTTAATTTACAATTGCCAGAGAAATTATTTGAGCAACCTTCTCAATAAACAATGTAAATTCCCTGGCTTTCAACACATTAAATGATTGGATAATTTATTTGACTTTGTTTCTTTGACCCAGACATAAGTGTGTATACTCATTTTTAAAATTTTTAAAATTTGTTTTAGTAGATTTAACATGGGTAGGTGTGGATTAACGGAGAAGGTGAAATTCTTACATCTAGTAAAGTTTTAAGTAGGTAGTTCAGGAAATGTCCATTGCATATGAGCTTTATTCTGATTATGTTGTATTAGAAAATATTGTGTTGAAATGCAAATAAATGCTACTTGATTGCAAGTGCGTGGTTATCAAACTTCTTTTTGCATAAAAAAAACCAACTTTTTACCTATTAAAAATCTGGTAACAAGACAAGTGATCATTTCTTTTTTGATGTAAGAAATATAAACCATTTACTGTATAACAGGGCCGGACCACAGGGAGTTCCAGTGAGTCCATGGGTCCTATCTTGGTGCTATCTTGGCTATGCCAACAAAACACAAAGTTGCACGTTAAGTTAATGAAGGAAGATTTAAAAAAAAAAATCCTTTGCCTGACAGTTGCAATTCAATGTTAGACACCTGGACACCTGTCTCTGCCAATCAAGCACAAACAAAGATACTCACTAGGCACAAAGGGAACCGCTCTCCTGAACCAGAAAGGAAGACGAAAGGAAGTGTGGCAATTAAATGTATAATATGGCTGCAAGTATGAAAAAAATTGTATAGTGAACATTCCATAGTAGGACCCGATTTTACAGAGAACATTGTAGGATAGGCTGCATAAAGACCGGTGACGGCAAAAACTATTTATAAAATGGTGCAGAAATGGACAATACTACATAGCAGATGTCGCAGTGAAGTACAAGACTGTATAGCAGACAATATTGAAGAGGACTTATGCTACAATTGTTTAAATTCTTTTTTTTTTTTACATCAACCTACACTCAATATCCCATAATCACAACTTACCAAATTTATTAAAAAGAAAACACTGAAATATCACATTGACATTAGTATTCAGTTACTTTGCAACACTTGAAAGTTAGCATAGGTGCATTTTTTTCAATCATCATTGAGGTGTTTTAACACTTTGATTGGAGTCCACGCATGGAATATTCAATTACTTGGATATGATTTTGAAAAGCACACAGCTTTGTAGGTAAAGTCTCAATAGCTGTAAATGATGCATATCAGAGCAAAAACCAAGCCATATAGTCAAAGAAACTGCCTACAGAGGATTGTGTTGAGGCTGGACATATCTGAAAAAGGCTACAAATAAAATTCAAAACATTGGCTGCACAATGGCCTCCATAATTCTAAGTTTGGCACAACTCGAGCTGGGCACCTGGCTACACTGAGCAATTAGGGAGAAGAGCCTAGGTAAGAGAGGTGACCAAGAATCCAATGGTCACTCTGGGATAGCTTCACAGAGCAATACAAAGATAATACAGAGTTTAATATTTTCAGAGAATTTTGTAAGGTGGAATATGTACAGGGTTATTCACTAAAGTGAGAATTGGTGGGAATTTCAAATCTAATATATACATATTTTAGAGTGGCCTTTTATTGTGGCCAGACTAAGGCACACCTTGCAATAATCATGCTGTCTAATCAGCATCTTGATATGCCATACCTGCGAGGTGGATGGATTATCTTGGCAAAGGAGAAGTGCTCACTAACACAGATTTAGACAGATTTGCGAACAATATTTGAGAGAAATAGGCATTTTGTATACATAGAAAAAGTCTTAGATCTTTGAGTTCAGCTCATGAAAAATGGGGACAAAAACAAAAGTGTTACGTTTATAATTCTGTTCAGTGTATATATATATTTTTTTTTTTATTATTATTATTTATTTATTTTTTTAATTATTTTTTTTTTTCACGATCCTGCACTCGCATTTGTGAGGTATGCACCACGGTGCTCCTTCCGCCAAATTTACATAAATATCCACGAAGAAAGGCACACGCTGGATTTCTTAATCAACTAAAGGTGTCTTTATTAATTACACTCAGTTTACATCATATCGACGTTTCAGTCCATACCGGAACTTTCATCAAGATAACCCCACCAAAACAGAATATACATAATAAATAACCAAACAGTGCAGGAAGAAGTCAGTGAAATTCCCTCCCCCTAGACAAAGGTAATACCTGTCATATGAGACCCAGACTAAACAGTGCGAACTGTACATGCTAGTGTATAGAAGCATTGTGCCATGGGCCTCACAATACTTCCATGCACTAGCATGTTGTACAGGCATGAACTTTGTAGTGGAGAGAGAAACCGGAGAGATCATTATTTTTTATGTTTGAGGATGTGCTGGCTATATTTTAATGTTTGTTTTTTAGCCTTGACTTGCAGAGAGTCCCAGGAAGGAAGTATTTCCCAAGTAAGTGGATTAATCTCATAAGTGCAAGCATTAGGCTGCTAGAGTAGGACCTGCCAAAATTGGGGTACATTGATGTTGTGGCAGGCTTATGCAATAATGCAATATATGATCATATAATGTAACTAAACCCCCATTATTTTTTGCCTAGGTGAGGTGTTTTTAAATAAAATTACTACAATCTCTAAGATTTGAAATCATTGTTTAGTGAATAAGCGAGTGCGCTGGATTCTGTGTTTGTTTATTTTGGCCCCAGCAGCACCCTATAATGTATGCATGTTCAGGTGAGTGCAGCCCTCTTGGATTTGTTTATATATTTGTGAGTCCTGGCCAACTCCTTGGTTTTGCCCCCCTCCCTGTCACAGGTGCCTCATTCCAGGGCCCTATTTAGCCTTGACTTGCAGAGAGTCCCAGGAAGGATGTATTTCCCAAGTACCGTATATACTCGAGTATAAGCCGACCGAATATAAGCCGATGCCCCTAATTTTACCACAAAAAAATGGGAAAATTGACTTGAGTATAAGCCTAGGGTGGGAAATGCAGCAGCTACTGGTGTGTGTGTGTATATGATGCAGAGTGTGTGTTTGTATGAATGCAGTGTGTATAGAATGCAGTGTGTGTGTATATAATGCAGAGTGTGTGTATATAATGCAGAGTGTGTGTATGAATGCAGTGTGTGTGGTGCAGTGTGTGTGTGTTTGTATGAATGCAGTGTGTGTTTGTATGTATGCAGTGTGTTTGTATATAATGCAAAGTGTGTGTGTGTGTGTGTGTGTATATGATGCAGAGTGTGTGTGTGTTTGTGTAGTGTGTGTAAACTGGGTGGGGGAGGGCATTTTAATTTTAATATCGTTATTTTATTTTATTATTTTAATTATTTTAGTATTGTTAATGTTTTATTTTATTATTTTAATATTTATTTGTTTTTGGTTTATGTCCCCCCTCCCTGCTTGTTGCCTGGCCAGGGAGTGGGGGCTATCTCAATCCCTGGTGGTCCAGTGGTCCAGTGGTCCAGTGGCATGGGCTGTGCAGGAGGGGGGCGGCAGCGAGCTGTAACTTACCTTCCTAGCAGCTCCTGTCGGCTCCCTTCACCTCTGCTCCATTCAGCTCACTGTCTAAATCTCGCGGTCTGCATGCCGCACAGAGCTTTGCCAATCCCTGTTGGTCCAGTGGTCCAGTGGCATGGGCTGTGCAGGAGGGGGGCTGGCAGCGAGCTGTAACTTGCCTTCCTAGCAGCTCCTGTCGGCTCCCTTCACCTCAGCTCCATTCAGCTCACTGTCTAAATCTCGCGGTCTGCATGCCGCACGGAGCTTTGCCACGGTAACCCGTGGCAACGCTCTGACGGCCGCGGGTCTCACATGATTTAGACAGTGAGCCGAATGGAGTGGAAGTGAAGGGAGCAGACCGGAGCTGACAGTGAGCGGAAGGGAACGCAGGAGAAGGGAGCTGACAGGAGCTGCTGGGAAGGTAAGTTACTGCTTGCTCCCAGCCCCCAACAGGACCGCCAGGTCTGTATTATGGCAATGTAAGTTGCCATAATACAGACACTGACTCGAGTATAAGCCAAGGGGGGATTTTTCAGCACAAAAAATGTGCCGAAAAACTCGGCTTATACTCGAGTATTTACGGTAAGTGGATTAATCTCATAAGAGCAAGTATTAGGCTGCTAGGATAGGATCTGCCAACAATGGGGTACATTGAAGGTGTGGAAGGCTTATGCAATATATGATCATATAATGTAACTAAACCCCCATTATTTTTTGCCTAGGTGAGGTGTTTTTAAATAAAACTACTACAATCTCTAAGATTTGAAATCATTGTTTAGTGAATAAGCGAGTGCGCTGGATTCCGTATTTTGTATATTTTGGACCCAGCAGCATCCTATAATGTATGCATGTTCAGGTGAGTGCAGCCCTCTTGGATTTGTTTATATATATATATATTTATTTATTTTTTCACGATCCTGCACTCGCATTTGTGAGGCATGCACCACGGTGCTCCTTCCGCCAAATTTACTTAAATAACCATGAACAAATGCACACGTTGGATTTCTTAATCAACGAAAGGTGTGTTTATTAATTACACTCAGGTTACATCATATCGACGTTTCATACCGGGACATGACTCAAGATAACCCCACCAAAACAGAATATACATAATAAATAACCAAACAGTGCAGGAAAAAGTCAGTGAAATTCCCTCCCCCTAGACAAAGGTAATACCTGTCATATGAGACCCAGACTAAACAGTGCGAACTGTACATGTTAGTGTATAGAAGTATTGTGCCATGGGCCTCACAATACTTCCATGCACTAACATGTTGTACAGGCATGAAATTTGTAGTGGAGAGAGAAACCGGAGAGATCATTATTATTTATGTTTGAGGATGTGCTGGCTAGATTTTAATGTTTGTTTTTGGAAGACTGGATTTTAAGGTGAGCAACCCCTGTGTATAACTTTCGCTGATAAGAGTAAATTTGGTAGATTATATAGCGATATATACTTGCAAGTTGAGATATTTTGTTAAGCATTCTTCAGATACAGGGAGTCGCTTATGTTCATTTCAATATTTATTTCTTCACACTTATTTCTCTGATTTTGAAATATACTGGGACAAGGGGAGAATTTAGGTTTCATTGTATGTACTTTTTGTAATGTGTTTATTGAATGTTTATTTCATGTATATACATATGCCTTGTATGTCACTATGTGTATACCTTTACTACTTTAACAATGTATATATTGTCATCACTTCTTTCACACAGTAACAGACACTGTGATATATGCACTCTCATTTGGAAGAGCCTTCTCACACATGATGTCCTTTATCTGTTGGTGGTATTATTTTGCGGTTCACTGA